ATATATATATATATATATATATATTAGTTTGGACTGACATTGCTTTATTTTTTATACAAGATTCTGCATTTATTATTTTTGTGCATTAAGATTGTGCCTGAAGGTAAAAATAACTTTGCATTGTAGTCTAAATTCTTTGCTAAATTAAAATAATGTCAAAAATTTTGTTTTATATTTTTCAGTTGTAAAAATATAAAACGTTCATTTATTCAGTTGTAACAGTAGTATAATCACTGGTAATATATTTAATGATAACAGATGTATAATATTAGGCTCGAAGAAGTTATTAGTGTAAATGGTTATAGATGACTTGAAATTGTTTTCATATGAAAGAAATAGATCTAGGCATGATAAAGTTAATTGTCGTTGAAATAAAAGAAATTTTGCTTAATGAACAAAACTTTTTTGCCAGAATTCAGTGTCAAGCGGTGTTGTCTATTATTTGATTTTACATTAGACACTTTAAAATATGAATTTTAAAGTATGAATTTTACTATTTTTAATATTTTGATTTTAAAGTATGAATTTTATTATTTATAGTAAAAAATAATAACAGTTTCAATTTTTAATGATTTTAATTTTTTTTTTTTTTTTTTTTTTTTTTTTTTTTTTTTTTTTTTTGTAATCTTAAACATAATTGTGTTCTTTTTTTAGTTGTCTTTGTCATCACTTGATTATTTTGTTTACTGTTGAAACATGGTTTTAATTTTGTAAATTTAATATGATGTTAAATTTACAACATTAATCATTTGTCAACAGTTAAAGAGAAGCTGGAACTTAATTAAGAAATGCTGGAAATTAACTTTTAGTTAAGGTAAAATTTTGTTTATTGGTAGCATAATAAAACCAGTTACTGTTATTTATTGCATGACTTTTTTACTTTTCCTAACGTGCTGTTTTTAAAACACTTCCTGTCTCTCTTAGATGAGACTTAAATAAGAATTAGTATAGAGAGAGAATAGGTTAAACTCATGTAATTACTGAGCTCTTGCCTATTTTTTAATACTGCGATTGATAATTTGCTATTTAAGGATATAATTCTTTAAATTATCCCTTGGTTGTTCAAATATTGTAATAAATAAAATCTTTTTAGTTTTTCTTTTAGGGATCGTCTATATATTACGTGACGCGAAGTTAAAAATATATATAAAAGAAATATCTCAAAAACGGTGTTTCTCTCATGGTCAACTATATGTTGCATTTTCAAGAACCAGAGCATTTAATAGTTTGTTTTTCAAAATTGATAAACATCTTATTGAAGATATAGTAGGTAAAAAAAACGTTTTTTAATGTTCTTAATTTATAGTCTTAAGATTTTCATTTCGAAAATTTACTGTTAAAGGTTGTGAGCACATTTGGTATGTATAACTTTATTTATCATTATTTTTTTTCATAGTTTTTGATAAATATATCTATTATTCAATAGTTGTAAAATGTGTTTATATGTGTTACATAAAGTCATATTTGTTTATAGTTGTATATATGTTTAAACTATAAAAGCCAAGACAACAACTTACATCTTAATTTGATTTCTTTTTATTGTAAATTTTTGTTAGTTAAAAAGATATAAATATATGCTATTAGTTAATTTTATATTTTATCTATTTTATGTCTAATAATTTGTTGTACGTATTTTAAGGGGATCTTTGTAAATGGGGGGTCGTAACTAAAAACTTTTAAAAACATGGAGAATATTGTAGTTTTGCGCATTAATATCGAGTTACTCAAGTTTTATTTATGTGTTAAACTAATTAGTTAGCTTAGTCTGTATTTGCAACACTTTTGAAGAAAGAAAGAAAACATTATTATATATGTAGATCATTGTTTTACATTTTATTTTTTTATTTTATTCCACTGGTCACCATTAAAGCAAAAAGAGGGGAGGAACCTCTTTTTTAGAGTCAAAATATTTAAGAAAATTAAATTTCGCGTTACAAAAGGAATGTTTAGTAAATGGTGGCAAATTACCGTTTACTAAAAAATAATGAAATAAAGAGGCCAAACAAATAATATAGAAATGGTCTGTGTTGAACAGACTTAACAAGACCCGCGTCGGGTCAGCTTGGTTTACCAATTTTTATGTCTACTTATCTGTTATAATTTTTATTTTAGGTTTGTCATATATGATGCATTAATGCATTAAGTTTAAATATTTTTCAAATTTATTATACCCATGTTTGATCGTAAATTAAATTTTTTTTTTTGGAAACGTATTTGTACTCAGTTGCTTAGTTATTTATAATAAACTTTGTTATTTTTAATAAATTTATTTAAATGAGTGTATTGAACATTTTTAAGTTAACAGTTTTCTTTTCTAAAGAAAAATTAATCAAAGGGATACCAAAAAATTGATAACTCCTGTATAATATAATTTAATCTTTTTAACTTTATTTTAATCTTAATGGTTCGTGTTATAAAAATTATTACAAGGATTTAGTTAATGCTTTCGTCAATTTAAAGCATGACGAAGTGTTATTATTTTGTGTCAGTAACTAAAAACGTATTGTGTTAAACTTAGGAAGGTCGATGAAAATGGTTCTGCCTTACACTGTTATGACCTATGCCATTTGTAAATTACTCAAATAATGTTAAGTAGTAATTGTAAATGTTAAGTTGTAGTTGGTAAATTATTTTACCTCCTCATACTTTTTATGTTAATTTTACAGATGGATTAATTTTTTCAAGCTGAAGGCGATTTTCTAAAAGGGTATTAGTTAATGTTTTGCAACATTAAATTGTAGAAAACAGCCACTATAAATTAATTATGTAACAGACCGACCTAAACCCGTATTACGGTTTGCTTTTTGCTAGTTTTTTATTAATACGCTTTAACGAGACGTATAATCAAGAAAAAGTATTCCCATTTCCATCTCATTCTCACGTATAATCAATAAAAAGTATTCCCGCGAGACGTAGCTTTACTTTTTGCCAGTAACAGCTGGCAATAAGTAAAGCTGCGTCTTGTGGGAATACTTTTTCTTAATAGCCTTTTTTTAATAACTTAATGTTATTATATCCTAAGTTAAACATACATATTAATTTTAGAAAAAAAATTTCATTACCTCGTAGAAATAATTTTTATCAAGTAAATTTTAGAGATTTACTAATTGATTTATCTTTAAATATTCATAAAACGAAAGAATAAGTTAATAGAAAAAATAAGTTAGCAATAATTAAAAACTTCTTACACTGATAAAATAAAATATACTTTATAAAGTATGCAGTCTAATAATATTAACAAGGTAAACAGACTAAAAATAAACAGTAAAACAATTTATCTCTAAGTATTTACAAAAAATAACAATTTTAAAATGATGCAGTTAGTAGTATATGAATACGAAGTCCTCAGTAACATAAATTTTAAATCAAATTTAAAAAACGTGAAAAGGTGAAAAGGCAGATCAAAATTTTGCAAAAATAACTCTATTCAAAAGATATAGTGCACGGTAATCAATATCGTTTACTTAAAAATGAAAATAAAAATAATATCAAAACACAAATTAAAAAAAGAAAAAAGTGCGATATTAAATTTCCAATAACAATAGTAAAAATTTTTTTTTTTTATTATTTATAGAGGTTGCATTAATATTTAAATGTAGATAAATATTATTTAAACTGATTGCATATTCAAATGTTGGGCTGCATGTTCAAGTTTTTTTTTTGTTTGAACTAGCATCCAGACATGTAAATATGCAATGTTCGAACTTTTTAGCAAAAATTTCAAAGTTCAAGTTCAAACTTTTTCTCCTAATAGTTCGAATTTTTAAGTTTTAAAAAATAATATGTCTTTTTATTAGTTTTTGTAAAACAAGCTAAACTATATAAGTAAAATTTATAAATTTGAATATTTTTGCTTTTTTTTGTTTTGTGTTTGTCTGGTAACTCTAGAAATACAATCAAAATTACATCAAAATAGCTGCTCAGCGTTAGCACATCTAGAAGATCTGAAATTTAAGAGTATTTTCATTTGTTGCCAAAAGCTGCAAAGAGCACAATGTGCCTCAACACGCACTATTACAACACACTTAAAAATAAACACAAAATAGAGGTTCTCGATAGTCATCAATAAAAGTTTAATTAATAAAATAATAACTTAATTAAAAGTTTAATTAATTAGTTTAATTAAAATTAAAAGTTGAATTAATAAAATAATAACTAACAGAGGTCATCAATAAAAGTTTAATTAATAAAATAATAACTTAGTACATAAAAATGATAAATTTGTTTAACCCAGTTGTTTTAAATCAAGGTAATCAGTTTGAGAACAAAATTAAAAGAAATAATGTAGATAATTTTGCAAATTAATCTTATTTAAAGATTATTCCAGCTTAGAGAGATGAACTCGATATTGATAAAAAGCCAAAAATGGCAACGATATAAGAAATTATAACAAAGAATTGACTCTAGATAAAGAACCGAAAATGTTTTATTAAAATATACGATTTTCAAATGGTATAATCTCGTGAAAGGGCTCACAGCCTTGGATTGTTTTCGCTTAGAAAAAGAAACTGGTTGCAGGATGATACCTTGAATTTACTTTTAATAAGCAAATAAAAAATCTTTATAAATAAATAAACAGATTTATATTTTACATGTTCCCTTTTGTTTTCAATTTTTAAAAAGCTCGACCTTTTTTTCTCAATAATTCGAAAGTGTTCAAGTTCGAACTTTTTTAAAAAAGTTCAAACTGGCAACCCTATTCACATGTATATGAAACGGTCCATTTCTTTCCACATTTTCCTTTTGTTTATAATTTTCATAAACAATAATAAGGTGCTAAGATATAACGCATAAAAGCAAAAAAATTATATGGTTTTTGTTGTTACTAATGTAGTCGTCAATCGTTAATAAATTTTTTTAATCAAATTTTTCCTTTTGTCTAAACGCTTTAACTATTAAAACCTAATTATCTGTTTGTACCAATAATGTGCGTTGAGCGTTTATTTATGACGTAATGAAGCATATAAATACCATCAATTTTCAAACTTGTTACAACTAAAATGTTGGTATTGTTAGTGTTTTGCTTTTTATCGTTTATAAGCAGTGGACAAGCTGAGGTGTCTTGTAATTTAGTACGATGCGCGAAACCTTTATGCGTGTCAGGTAAGTTAAATCACTTAATTATATTTTGATTGACTATTTAAAATATATTATCAAGCGGATCTACGGAGAATGACACTAATTCCTAATTAATAGCTTTACTTGTATCAATTTTTACTTTTTTTCTCGAACCGTTTTGAGCAACCCAGTTGACCCTGGGTCTATATAAATTTTTTTAACCGTATTAATAAATTGATATATGCAACTTCAATTTACATTTAAAGAAATTTATACTTGAGATGAACCTTCAACCAATGTGTTAGAGAGTATGTTATTAGTCAAACAAGATTTGTCAATTGACAAAAACCTTAAATTAACAAGACTAAATTGTTTTTATTATAAATTAAATATTACGTAACGACCAAGCACTTGTTTCTAATAACAAAAAAAGTTATATGTGTGAAATGACATTGCTCTCATTGCTTTGTAGACCGCAACACGTTTTACGCAGGGTCAAAAGAAGTAATACAAAACAAGTGCATCAGTGCATCTCGAATGACGCCTTTTTGATGAAAACACTCTTAAATGTAGACTTTAAATTTACTTTACACTCAATTTTCTGAATTTGTAAATAGTTTTGTCATTATTTTGGCAATTTTAAAAAACGTCATTTTAAAAATTGAAGAAAAAATGCCAAATTCAAAAGCACTTTTGAGTTAACCATGCTACTCCTGTGCTTTGCGACAGATCATAGCACTGGATAGGACTTGAAACTGTCATTACATATTCTTAAAATAAGCTTTGTTTTAACATTTTCAGTATACCTAACCTTTTTATTTAAAGGTGTTCCTCCGATAAAAGATCCATCCGAATGTTGCAAAATCTGCCCAAAAAGACAAGAAGGAGAATCGTGTGGTGGATCAACCAAGGGTGTTTGTGATGATCATCTTTTTTGTAAAATAAACACCCAACACTCAAAATACGGGATATGTGGTAAATTTAAAAATTCTTATTTAAACCAGAAGATATTGATAAATTTATGAGTTTGAACAAAAAGGTGTAACTTTAAATTTAGGATACAGTAGTAAACTTTAAATTTAGGATACAGTAATAAACTTTAAATTTAGGATATAGTAGTAAACTTTATTATGCTAACACCTACTTTGTTTTTTTTTTGTTTTTGGTTTGTAATTTTATAATTATAGTTGCATAGATTTTTGGCTATAATATACAGTTTTAATTTTTCAAAACTACTTTTAAGCAACCTATATTTTTAGAGCGTAAAAATCTCGATTGCCGAAGTCAACGAGATACTGGTCCATGCGAAGGGTACTTTAAAAAATGGTTTTTTAATTATGACGTAAAGATGTGCCAACAATTTGTCTATGGCGGATGCCTCGGAAACAATAACAGATGAAGACTCCACGGGAAGAAACGGCAGGGTCACATTTTAAAAATTTTGACATTTTGCACTTTTTAACTTTATAAACAATATTATTATACATTTTATTTGAATTCAAATCCAAAAAACAATTGGATGTACCTTTATAGTTTGATGGAACTTAATCACTTTTTTTTATTGTACAATACATACCTCCCCGAAAAGACAAGTGTTTATGAATTTAAATAATTTCGCAACTTACTAATAGACATAAACCAAGCTTACCATTTAATTTTTTTGAATTATCAAGACTCATACTTACGGCTATAAGTCTTTGTTTTTCAAAATAATCACAGGTGATTTGGTTAATGTAAATTAAATGATAAAAATGGCGACACTTGAAATACCATTAGAAATGCTAAAGAAATCCAAGAAAAGAAAAAGTAAGGAAAGATTGCGTGAAATTATAAAGAAACGAAGATTATCATCGCATAAAACAGGGCTTGGATGTAACTGTATAAGGCTGAAATGTTTTGATAATGTTTAAGAAGAAGATAGAAAAGTGTTAATAAGATATTTTAACTCTCTATCCAGCAAGAATGCTCAAGATTCGTATCTTGCAAGTTTAATAACTTTAAATAACGTTTCAAGAAGAAGACCACGAAAAATTAATTCAAAAGGTTAAAATAGCAGTTACACATATAAACTTTTTATTACAAATCACGAGATATTTGCGAGTTCGTTTGTTTATGTTTGCTTTTCTGCGTTTATTTCAATCTTTGGCATAAAGAAGGGAAGATTGGAGACCATTAAAAGAAGCATGTTAACTTCAGGTTAATTATATATTTTTATTGAATACAAAATGACTATTTTTAGTGGAAGTTATCTTATATATAAGTATTTTTATATAAAATTTTTTTTTTTCTCATTATAGGTCACTCCCCATAATAAAAGAGGTAAACACAAGAATCAGTATAACAATTTTACTCCTCAACTAAAAAATAAAATATGTGATCACATTTCTTCTTTCAGAGGTAGAGAGTCCCACTACTCTCAAAAAAAAACTAGGCGACTATATCTTCCTCAAGAATTAAATATAACCAAGATGTATGACTTGTTTAAAATCAAGTATGAAAATGATAAATTGTCATATGAATCTTACCGCAACATATTTAACACTAGTTTTAACATTTCTTTTGGGTACCCTAGGACTGACACATGTTCAAAATGTGATGAGTTTAAAATTAAAATTGATGCAATGAAAATTGAACTATCTTTTAATTCAGAATGTACAAAGCCTGAACAATAATTGCATGAGCTTGAGTTACTGAAAAAACAGCACCACAAAGATGCAGAAACATTTTATGTCAGGAAAAGAAATGCTCGGTTTAAAGCACAAAGGGAGTACAAATTTGAGGCAATTGCTTTTGATTTCCAAAAAAACTTAACTTACCAAATCAATCAACCAACGACTTTTACTACAAACGAAAATTAGCATTTTATTCATTTAATATTCACGTGCTTTCAAGTAATGAAGTTTATTTGTATTGTTATGATGAAGCTATAGCTAAAAAAGGGGCTGATGAGGTAACTTCGATGTTATATGATTTTTTTATAAAACATTTAGACAAAGAAATTTGATCTGTGGAGCTATTTTGTGATTCATGTGGTGGCCAAAACAAAAACTATACATTAAGTCGTTTTATGGATTTTCTTGTACATGAAAACAAAAGGTTTGACTATATTAAAGTTACATTTCCAGAACGTGGTCATTCTTTTATGGAATGTGATAAAGATATGGGATTAATTAATTGCAAAACATCCACTAGTGACCCATCAGATTGGATTAAAACATTCAAAAATGCTCGTAAAAACCCCACTCCGTTTCATGTTATAGAATTAATGCAAGGTATGGTTAAAAGTATAACTGATTTTATGAGACCATTTTATAAGAATAAATGTCCAATTCCAACACGTCCTCTTCGTGAAATTTGTTTCAGAGTAGACTCAAGTGGTATTGTGTTTCATCGTGATTCGTGGAATGGATTATTGTTGAAAACTAATTTAAAAAATAATAGGAAGAACACTATAAATAGTGAGATCCCCATTCTGTATAATGCAAAACTTTGCATCTCTGTGGCAAAGTACAGAGATTTACAAGTATTAAAAAGATTTACATCGAATGCTCAGTTTTACGATTCTTTGCCATACAATCAGGAGGTTATTGAGACATTTCATGAAATTATTGATTCTGAAAATGAAGAGTAAATAGACTTCTTTTTTGATTTAAAGTTTGTTTTTAGTTATTTTTTTCTTAGTATTTTTTGAAAAAATCTATAATCTTTAATATGTTTCTTCTTTGCACTTAATATACAACAATTTATATAATTAATAGTCCCAAGGTATTGAATGTATCTTTTGACTATTAGTCAGGGTATGAAAATAAAAATTCAGATCAAATAAATTCTGAGTTGTTTGAAAACCTATAAAGTTTTAAATCCCCTTTATTATCAGGAAAGTAACTTTGCATTAAATAACTTTTTGCTTACAGTTTTGTGACACCTATATAGGTATAGTTATATAGGTATTTAAAAGGTTAACCTTTAAATAAAAAACAAATTGAACTTTTTTATCAACAGTGATATTTTTAAATGAAAGATTTATAATAAAAATTAAAGTCATTCGTTAACGGGAACTAGAACTAATACTAAAATCATTTTCTATACAAAATATCTACAGACAACTCTTGATATCTCGAACCTTCAAGGGACCGATTAATTAGTTTGAGATTAAAGAATTTTCGAGTTATCGAGAGTATAAACCATAAATAAGGGTTCGACTGGATTCAAAAAAGTTTGAGATATCAAGTATTAAAGATATTGAGAGTTGACTGTAAGTGATATTTTTGTGCACGAAAAAAAAACAAAAATGAAACGAAAACTATAAGTATTTTCTACACGAAAATATCAACACTAAACAGAATTTTTAATTTTAGTTCAACCCCCTAATCTTTTAAATGATCAATATTAGGTCTTGGTGGTTAGGTTGTTTGATAAAATTAGCTTATGCCTAATTTAATTTATAAGCTAGTAAAAAATAATTTATATTTTAGCTTTTTACTTGATCTAAAAACTAATAAAATAAAATAAAACATTTTACCGGGGAAAAAACGGCAGAGTCCACAAAAAACCTCACTTAAAAAAGAAAGTCTATCACGTAAATTTTTATTTTTAAATTAGAAATGCAACTTTAATTGCATAAAAAAATGGTTATTTTTGTAATATATCTTAATAATTTTAATCTTTTCCCTAAAAATAAAAAAGTTATATAGGTTTAAAAGTTTAAAAATGAGTTATCGCAAAATGAAAAAATGTGACCCTGCCGTTTCTTCCCGTGGAGTCTTCAGATATGATACTAAAATGTCTTGCGAAAAGTCGTGTGAAAAAAAAGTGGCTAAAATATTTAATTGTATGAACTTTGAGTCATTAACATCAATTCGTCTGAGTTTCATTAACAGCAATTCGTCTGAGTTTTCAATATAGGAACAATTTGGAATTTTTGATATTATATGGGTTCTTAAAAATGAAGAAAAAATAGTTTTCTCACAAAAATTACTTTAATATTTATATAGGCATATCTTTATTTATATAAGTATATATTACTTATTTTTGGAATTTTTTTTTTTTTTTTTTTTTTTTTTTTGCAAACAGTTTTTAAGTATGCTTTGAAAATATTTACGACTAACATAAAGCTAAAAACAATTTGATGCAATACTGTATTTAAACAATAGATTATAGTCAGTTAGTGCAAACTTTGTGCTATTTAAGGTAATTAAAGCATAAAACTTGGTAGATATGTTGATACGGTTGAAACATTCATTGTAAGACTCATACCACTTTTAAAATAACCACCAATGGTGTCCATGGAAACTAGTACCTGTCCATAGCAACAAAACTTTAATTTTTAAAAATCTAATAATTTATATACTAACCAAAAGTTCAGTAAAAATGAAACAAAAAATACAAAGATACTAAATGGAAAAAGTTAACTGATAACAACAGGGCCATCCTGTAGAGGTCTTTCATGAAGGAATGTCGTGTGTATTTTTCGTCAACTAGAAACATTAAAACATCTTTCTAGGCTTCGACAATTTGGTTCTGAGACCAAATTGTCCAAGCCTAGAAAGTTTGAATATTTGTATTTGGTTTTTAAAATTACAATTCCAACTTGCTACTTTTGCAATGCTTCTTTAACTTTCTGATGTTATCAACTAGTTGAGTGACCTTTATAGCTAATGATTTTTTACAGCAAAGCAGTTGAACATTACACAAAACATAGAATATACAGCATTGTATGAGATATCTTTCAGTGTTTAAAATCCAATAATAAATTTCTTTATTAAGCATTTTATCTAGATAAATATACAATTTTCCAGAAGTCAAGCCAAATAAATATATAAATTTAAAACAGTTAATTACATTAACAGTTTTAAATTTATAAATTATAAACAGTTAAAGTAAATTATGTAATACGATTATATTCTAATTTTCAAAACTTAATATCAGTTTAGTTGTTTATATATCAAAACAATAGAAATACTTTTTAAATAAAATACACAATGTTATATATGCAATTTACAGTGTAACTTACAAAATGATAAAACTTACTGACAAATTTCCTGATGATTTAATTGAATTTAAAATGAAAGTATTTACATTTGTACTTAATACTATGTAACTACAAAACTTGAAACTTTCAATGAGTGTTTTTCAATGAAAGACACTCATTGAAAGTTTCAAGGATTTTGTATAAAATTTGTATTTTTTTTTTATTATTTATTTGAGTTTTCATGCTATATTTTTCTATACAATGTTCTTATATCCGAAGATATTGTTGGCTTAGCATAGGAACAGCCACAAATATTCATTAAAACTAATCCAAAGTGGCGTCCGTTATTGACCAACATTTTTGCGTACCGAAGTACTACTCAAGCGCTGAGTTGGCGGTGGCGGGATTTGAACTCGTATTGTTCAACAGTCCGGGTTTTCACTTTTTCTTTAAGGCTCTATCCATCTGAGCTATCCCGCCAATGAAGTACAAGATTATTTTATAAGAAATGGAAATAATTATCACTTAAAAACCAGAACAAGGAAAGCGGACTAAAGTCTATCTTTTGCAATGGGATAAAGTTTTACAACAAATTGCCAAATGAATTTAAATCTCT